GGTAAATGACCTTGGAGGGCCGTATCTGGCCTTAGTTTGAGGACCCCTGGTCTTTAGCATGAAAAAGACCAAAATTATCCATATGAAAAAAATGATCATAAATGTTCATTTATGCCCAATAAATCATAAGTGATTTCGCCACCACATATGTCAACGATATAATCAGAATAGTTTTGAGAACCGCAGGTAATCACTACCAAATTATTAGAGTAATCCATCGCTGTGCATCACACACCAAGAGAGTAATCCTTTTTAACAAAAAAGGTAATATGTATGAAAACAAATTGAACAGAGAAAACATTTGGGGAAAAATTCATGACTTGAACATTTGAATTCTGTCTGCTTATTCAAAATAGCAACATTATCTTCTCTGATAGAGTTGGAAACTATTTTTTAATAGATCACATTAACAATTTTAAATTATTCAGAGGGCCAAAACCAAGAACATACATACACTTTCACATAAGTATGCACAGGCCTCAATGTCATATAAAGCACTGAAGATCTTATCAAACCAGAGGCAGAGAGATGTGATCCTTCACTCCCTTTTGCACATATAGGCACATCCATGTTCCCACAAGAACCGTAAGCTAATTATGTAGAAGTATATACATTTGGTTATATGATATAACACTTTGAACCTTTCTCTTCAACAAATGACCTATTAAGTCAAATGAGTCTTAGGCCTCATTTACACTGACTATTTAGGTCAGTGTAGATGTGGATCACCGCAGCAGCTAAATTCTGCATGGGGCTGATCTGGGGTAATGCAGGGCATGGCCACCTTAACACAGAGTTGCCTCATATTAGTCCAAATAGCAGGAAAATCTAATTCTTGTGACACAATGTTGACTTTCCCCTAACCTATTTATTTATTTACGACATTTATATGCCACCCTTCTCATCCCGAAGGGGACTCAGAGCGGCTTACAAGGTATATATTACATACAATATATTATATTATTAGCATAGTACAATATCAGCATTAAACATTGCTATATTGCACCATACCACTATATCATAATATTATTAGCAATATTTCATGTAATATAAATATATAATTATAATATCATATTATTATTATATTGCATTACATTATACTATTATAAATATTATATGTATATACAATATATTATATTATATTGTATTATATGATTAGAATAGCACAGGAGACAAGGTGGAACTGTCCCCTCACCCCCTCTCTAGAACCTAGATACTGTAGGGCCAGCCGAGCTGGTTCCTAAATAGAATCAGCTCAACTATCCCCACCATCATCCCACATTTCAGTCCAGGGATATTGGGTGGAAACCCTCTTCCCACACAGAGCTCATATCATAGTGGTGTCTGGGTGCATTACAGGTCTTACCTGTTCTCTATTAAGTACTGTGAAGTCAACCAGGGCCAGAGAGTGCCTGGAAGGTCACGGGGAGAGGAGGGAAGTATGCCTCTTCCTTCCTACCTTGGTGCTTTATCACCCTGGCTGACATCAAGACACTCAACAGAGAACAGGTAATAACAACAACAACAATAACAATAACAACAACAACTTTATTTATACCCCACCACCATCTCCCAAAAAGGACTCAGGGCGGCTTATAGTAGCACATGCAAGTGCCATAACCACATAAACTACAGGTAAAATCACATCAACATATTAGACAATGACAATCTCAGTTCACATAAAAACAACACATTACAAAAACAAAAAACCTAATCCCAATTAAAATCAATAAAACATATTACTACTTGGCATTAAAATGAATAATACAACATCCCAGCCACAGCCCAAATTTGACCATTAAAGTGCCAGTGTCAATATTGTATTGTTTGGTCCTTAGATTAGCAGATGTCTTAATCTTTTCCAAAAGTCTGCCTAAAGAGCCATGTTTTCAGCTCCTTGCAAAAACATTTTAACCTAATATCTCTGGGGAGGGTGTTCCAAAACCAGGGGGCCACCACAGGGAAGGCCCTCTCTCTCATCCCCACCAGTCGCACTTCGGACAGAGGTGGAACGAAGACTAGGGCCTTCCTAGCAGATCTTTGGGGTAGGAGACCACCACAACATGGGGATGGGGAATAGAGTCCACTCAGTTTTATTATTTTTATTATTAACAGTTAGGGTGGCTGCCTGGTACTACTGAACCACATTCAGCACCACTGTGGGTCAGGGACTTCATCCCATCTCCGTAGCAGCTGGGGAAATCTGTATGGAGACCATATCTGACATCAATCCAGCGCCCAGCACACGGCATCTTCCCTGGGGTCCAGCAGCTTCATCACATTGAGGGGGAGATTCACCACACATTATGGTGAATTGGGTTGAACCCAGTGGGGGGCATGGAGAATCCATTGCCCTACATTGCCTGTGTTGTCCCCCTTTGACTTCATTTGAGGCACGGAGTCCCGTCGGAAGTAGATGGCCATTGTGTGATGAAAGTCAACAGGCTCTGAGCCTCAAGTGAAGTCAAAGTGTCATAGGACGGACAATTTTGCCTGTCTGATGAGGTTGCAGGTCTGTGTAGATGCACCTTTAGATGTCAACATGCCCAGGAGATTTCTATATTTCTATCCAGTTCTCTATTACAATGAAATCCATAGAAGGGAAATAAAATATGATAGGGGTAACGTGTTTGTATAAATTGACCTGCATAGTTCAAAGATTTGTTTCAGTCTGAATTCAAATGACTGCTTAATCCAGCCATGCATGATCAGGTATAACTACTAGCTCACGTTAATGGGCAATCAATTAACTTCATTTAAAGGATCTAATATAAAATGGAATCTTCATATCTGCTGACAAATGAAGTGACAAGAGAAAGACAAGATGCTAATCAGAACCTCTGGTTTTATGAGTTCCTTTAACATAAACTGTCAGGACTAGGAAAAATGATTGCCAGTAAAAGGCACAATTAATTCAGAATGCTAATACGCCAAGAAAAAGCTGAAAATTACAGCTGTTTAGTGCTGTCCTGGGAGACAACATGGTGTAGTGGTTTTTTTATCATTGGTCTATGACACTGGGAGACCATAGTTTGAATCCCTGCTCAGCCATTGAAACACACTGGGTGGGTTTGGACAAGTCATCCTCTCTCAGCCTCATAGTTGTCTTACTCAACTGCCAAGTAAGTCTGCCCTGTTTGGCATAGGTCTGCCCATGCAAAGCAGATGAACATAGCATTGAATGAAACATGCAGAATAATCACAGGATGTCTTAAACCTTCACCTGTTGATAAACTCTACAAGCTAGCTGGCACTGTCCCCCCTGATGTGCGATGGGAAGTTGCTCCTAAATGTGAAACAAATAAGACTGAACACTGTGAAAGCCACTCACTACATGGCTACCAGCCTCCTCCCAGTAGACCCAAATCAAGGAAAAGCTTTAAGGGAAGTACCACTCCTCTTGGTATCCCTCCAAGCAATAGCAAGGGTATACTTCTGGGCAGCTAAACCAGGAAATCCCAACTGGATGGCCCCTCACGAGGATCTTCCTCTAGGCGCAAACCAAGAATGGGCAACTTGGAAGTCCCTGAGCAGACTCAGAAGTGGAGTGGGCAGATCAAAAGACAATCTGGCAAAATGGCACTATCTATAAGAAGCCCACACCTTGTATGACTGTAGAGCAGACAACTCCTCATCTGTATGCTTGTCCACTATGCCCTGCCTCGTGTACAGAGGAAAAATTGTTGGAGGCTACAGACAATGCCATTGCTGTTGCCCGTTTTTGGTCAAAAGATATTTAGCCGCCTGCGCTCCTTCTATTTTTATCAGTTTTATACTAATTTATGCAATGCTTTTGATATGAAATAAATAAATAAACCTCACAGAAAGGCACTGACTATCCTTTTTAGGGTTAAGCCATAGTTTACTTACCATATAATAACCTATTAACTATGAAGTAAGGCAGGGGTCCTCAAACTAAGGCCCGGGGCCAGATGCAGCCCTCCAAGGTCTTTTACCCGGCCCTCGCTCAGGTTCAACCTAAGTCTGAAATGACTTGAAAGCACACAACAACAACAACAACAATCCTATCTCATCAGCCAAAAGAAGGCCCACACTTCCCATTGAAATACTAATAAGTTTATATTTGCTAAAATTGTTCTTCATTTTAATTATTGTATTGTTTTAAGTGGTTTTGCACCACAAATAAGATATGTGCAGTGTGCATAGGAATTTATTCTTTTTTTTTCCAAATTATAATCCAGCCCTCCAACACTTTGAGGGACTGTGACCTGGCCCTCTGTTTAAAAAGTTTGTGGACCCCTGAAGTAAGGTAACAAATACCTTGATAAATTAAAATATTTCAAAACTGCTAATAGAAAACAATAACTTCACACTACTATAGAAAAACTTTTACTAAAATTAACTTCATTTCATTGGGAGCCAGTATCAAACACTAACAGTATCAAAACAATGTCAGCCCCCCTGGATTAATGCTGAGCTCATTACCATTAAGTATAAAGGTCAAGAAAGAGCTTCCTTAAATCTAATCCTTTTACTGGTGGGATTATATTTCTTGGGTGGATTAAACCAATGCAGGCTACAGAGTATGAGAGACCACTTAATCCTAGTATTCCCAGGACTGATTTGCTATGATGGCAACTGTGAAAATAGACAAATATGCAGTATTTTCTTGAAAGCACCACTTATGTTATTACTGTGTCAAAAATAAAATGGACACTTCAAGAAAAGATAAAATATTATAGCAAGTACCTTTCACTCTCCCAATGTAATGAAAAATATTGGTCATTTCTGTTAGACTTAACCCGTGGAAATTATGCCCACTGTTCATTCAATTCATCATAGCTTTACTGGGCTATATTAAAAGGGCAATATTGTCTTGAATGAATTGAAATGGGACAAGAACAAGCTGCAATGCCTGCTAAACTGAACCAATGATGGGGAAAGCCCCTAAAACACCCTCATCACAAGAACAACAATAAATTGTCAGTGACAAAAATGTCCGGTTGGACATAAATATGAAATAGGAGAAAGTGCCTTACCTGCCTGGGCAGCTGTAATCAGAGCCGTGTTCCCTTCATTGTCCTGCCAGTTTACATCAATGTGAGGGCACTGGGCTAAGGCTATTACAATATCCACAAACCCTTGGTAACAGGCAACAATAAGGCCAGTCTATAAATAAAAAATAAGATGGTGGTTAAAGGAAAGCAAGTTCAGCACTTGGAACCCCTTTATGTTATTTCAAATTGTATTCCTTACCCAAAGAATTATTATAAATAATACGTAGCAATACACACAACTGAAAGTGTCAAATCGGAAGGATGTGTGTGTATCATAAGAACACATATAGTGAGTCATGTAGTCATGAATGAGGCACGTAGAATAATTACAGGATGTCTTAAACCAATAATAATAATAATAATAATAATAATAATAATAATAATAATAATAACTTTATTTTTATACCCCACCAACCCAAATGTAGACTCTGCAAGGAAGCATACGAAACAATAGATCACATCCTCAGCTGCTGCAAGAAGATTGCACAGACAGACTACAAGCAGAGGTATAACACCGTTGCTCAGATGATTCATTGAAACTTGTGCCACAAATACCATCTGCCTGCAACAAAGAATTGGTGGGATCACAAGCCGGAGAATGAACACACCAAATTCCTCTGGGACTTTCGAATTCAGACGGAGTTTTGGAGCATAATACTCTTGACCTCACAATCGTATTAAAAAACCAAGTATGGATCGTTGATGTCGCAATCCCAGGTGACAGCAGGATTGCAGAGAAACAACTGGAAAAGCTGACACGATATGAGGATTTAAAGATCAAACTGCAAAGACTCTGGCACAAACCAGTTAAGGTGGTCCCACTGGTGATCCCAATCACACCATCCCCAGCAGGCCCTTCTCATCATAAATGCCCAAGGGGAAAGGGTTTTTAATAATAATAATAATAATAATAATAATAATAATAATAATGGTGGTCCCAGTAGTGATCAGCACACTGGGTGCAGCGCCTAAAAACCTTGGCCTGCACTTAAAAACAATAGACGCTGACAAAATTACCATCTGCCAGCTGAAGAAGGCCACCCTACTGGGATCTGCATGCATTATTCGCCAATATATCACACAGTCCTAGACACTTGGGAAGTGTCCGACGTGTGATTCAATTCAACAGCCAGCAGAGTGTCTGCTGCGGACTCATCTTGTTGTGTTTCAAATAATAATAATAATAATAATAATAATAATAATAATAATAATAATATCTTTATTTTTATACCTCGCCAACCATCTCCCCAAGGGGACTCAGGGCGGCTTACAAGGGACAAGCCCAAAAATTACAATAAAACACAACAGATTAAAAACATCAAATATGAAAATATAAAAACAATCACAATTGTAAACAACATCAAGCAATTTGGTTGAGATAAAAACATAGCTGAGGTACAGATTCACTGAGTACAATACATTCTGATGGGACCACAAGGAAAGTGCAACAATCAAGTAGTCAGGGCTCAAAATACTGTCATCAAAGGTGTTGAGGGCCAATGTAAAGTGCTGAACTTAAAGTAGGAACAGGAAAATTACCAATGTAAAGTGCTGAACTTAAAGTAGGAAGAGGAAAATTACTGGTGGACTGCGTAATCAATAGGACACCAGAATATCCAGGCTTTCAATTGTCTCCAGAAAGAGGACTAGGAAGGGAGTTCCAGAGCCGGGGGGGGGGGGCACCACCGAGAAGGCCATCTCCCTCGTCCCTACCAACCATGCTTGAGACGGCGGAGGGGGCGAGAGCAATGCCTGCCTAGATAATCTCACGGTAGGGACTGGTTCATAGGGGAAGATGTGATCACGGAGATAAGCAGGTCCCAAACTGAGTTGATAGACTCTATAAGCTAGCTGACATTGCCCCACCCACCCCGTACCCCGATGTACGATGGGCAGTTACTACTATCTGTAGGGAAAGCTTGGAGCGGGAGGAGGAGAGAACCACAGATCCCCTCAGTATACTTTGTAGAGCCCCAAGGACTCCACGGAGCACACTTTGAGAACCACTGCCACAGGACATCTTGGAAGATGCAGAAAATTCCTAAAAAGGATATGTTTTATCAGATGCATGTAGGTGAAACTACAGATACTAATTCCATTGGTAAGGGGGCCACATTGTGTAACTGTAGTAAATCAAATGAATAAAATAACACTGAAACCATTCTATAGAAGAGTACAATATGATATATGAAAAACAATTTGACCAAAGCCTTGTGAAAGCATTAACAGAAGGTAGATTTGTAAACAGCCATCATAATACTGTTTTATTGTTTTTAATGAATGTTCTATTTATTGTTTTTAATTGTTATTATATTGCTTTGTTATTTGTAGTGGCATCGAATTGCTGCCAAATGTAAGCCGTACTGAGTTGGGAAGGAACAGGGTAGAAATACCAGAAATAAATAAATAAGAGAGCTTATCTAAATATGTTTTTAAAAATATCATTTTTTCCAAATAATTATGGGTTTGAGATACCTTTAAAAAGAAATGACATAATTGAAGTGCTTCTGCATTTAGGTATGCATAATGTCTGGAGTGCACTACAAAAATTGGTCTGAGATCGTAATAGTAGCAAAGCCGGTTGAAAATGTTTGAATTTGAGAGCAGCATGTCCTCAAGACCAGCATATTTTAATATTTTAGCTCATTTCCTAGGTTTGAACATTATTACAATAATAACAATACTTTACATAATGCATTAAGTTTAAACCCTAAGATTCTTGGAAGGGTGCCATAATACACAGTAGGCTTATCCTTGTGTGAGTAGAGAAAGTTCTCGACAACTTAAACCCTCCCTGGAACCCCTCCCACACATCTGAATAAAATCCTACATTATCTGCTTTGAACTGGAATATATGGCAGTGTGAACTCAAATAACCCAGTTCAAAGCAGATATTGTGGGATTATCTGCCTTGATATTCTGAGTTATATGGATGTGTGGAAGGGCCCTGGATTAGGGAAGAAACTTCTATCATGTGTATGATCTTCTCTCCTTGCTTCCACAGCAAAAGTGCAAAAGCATAGGGAACACAACTGTGTGCACATATATCAACAACGGATCTAAGGAAGCTTTGTAACTGCAAATTCCAAAATCTGTTGTTCCTCAGGTATAGCACCCGTACAAGAGAGAGGAGGCATCATAGCCTGAAGTTGGTATACTTGTCAGACACCAATGGCAGGGAATATTTTACGTGTAGATCAACATCTTATGGTGGCAGAGGAAGTGAGAAGTCCAAAAAGGTTCTTCCACTTCTGCCTTGACTGGTATGAAGGTATCTGAACTTCTGGATTCTGTGCTCAAGGGGATTCTAAGAGTTCAGGTGGCTTATATACTGAATTTTGCTGTAATCCTTGACATTGTTAATTATTCCCCTACTCAAGACCAGTCCCAGCATAGTGGGCTGTATCTACCTAGTTTTATTTAAAGTAGCCATGAGATTTTGGTTACGCATGAACTGATTTCACCAGATCTATTCAACATAAAACAGGGCTGGATCCAATCCATTAAATAATCTAGTAAAATATTGCAGAGATCAGGTTTGAGACTAAGGCAATATTGGTTTCCTAGAGGTACCTACTAAATTAGTAATCTTGAGTAGTTACTAAATGAAATGGGTACAATCACAGATAAATCCACCCATAACATTATGGTGAAATGAGGAAATGTGCAAGTAGGATCTGCACAAAATGTTATTTCCCATGGATAACGAAAACCATAAGTTGGAAAGAACAACAAAGGCCATCTAGTCTGATTCCTACCATACAGGACATACTGTCAAAATACTCCCAAACAACACACATCCAACCTCTGTTTAGAGATCTCCAAAGAAGTCATTTTGAATTCTGGTCCTCTCTTCTGGAGTATTAACTATCCCTTCCAATTTTCTGACATCTAAAAATTTAATAAGTATGTCCTATATTCCATAATCCAAGTCATTAATAAACTGCTTTGAGTCACCTCTGGCTGAGAAAGACGGCATACAAATGCAATAAGTAAATAAATAATAAATATGCTGAATAACAATGTTGCTACCCTACAATGTTCTCCAGGATGAAGAGGAACCATTCAATGAATTAAAAATCTACCTAAATATTATTTATTATTGAATATCCCACTACAGGCCTCAAGGCTGCATGAATAGTGCAGGAGTAACATACTATTGTAGTTGTATTGACTTCAGAACAAAAGAATGATGTTACTGAATATAATTTCCACATGTGTGTAGAGTCCCATATAGAAGAAAGCCTTGGAGAATTCCTGCCCAGAAGCTTGCCTAGGCAGACTAAAACAGCAGGGGTCAGAAAAGGTCCCAAAAGTATGGAAGTCATGCCAGCTCTTGAAATAGTCTAACTGATTACTTCCATTTGTACTAAACACTAAAGATAAATATGCTGATTTGTGTAAATCTCTTGCAAATACTTCAACATGTGACAAAACAGTTTTAATTGATATGGGGCATTTAATCCACAGTGCCCATTACGTACCACTTATGAGTTAGCAAATTTAGTAATTTATGGTAGTCTAGCTAAGCACTGTGGTTTTCCATTACTGAAAAGTTAATCTTTTTAAGATGTGAAATGTTAATCAGTCCCAGCAGATTGCTGTTCGTGCAGAAATAAAACAATACATATCCAAAGGTACTGGTGTCCTCGTTTTATAGGACAGTGGGGGATTACGACTGTTCATGAAACAATAATCTGCTAAAAATTAATGTTAGCATAATTAAAAATATTTGCATAGTAAAAGAATGGCCAATTTTAGGATTATAGAAACCCTGTGAATGAAACAATATATTTATGACTTGCATCCCAAGCATTTCACGTGAGACAAACTATGGACCTCATACCATGAACCGGAAGAAAGTGGGGGAAAGTTGGGGGAACTGTCTTACTCCATTCCCTCCCATCGATAATAATAATAATAACACTTTATTTGTACCCCGCTACCATCTCCCCAAGGGACTCGGTGCGGCTTACATGAGGCCGAGCCCAAACACAACAATACAGGCAATAATCACAACAATACAAGCAATTAAAATAAAACATAGACGATAAACATATAAAATTATCAATAAGACAACATACAATTAAAAACTATGGGAAGGCCAAATGT